AGATTCCAATCATTATTATAAGCCATAGACAAACTGTTTTCCTCCAAGTTAAAAAATAATACTGGCTAAACACTTCTTCACATAACTAAGTACTAGTTTTGCCCGCATATGCAAATGTCTATGGGCAACGGTCACTTCGCTATTTCAGCGATTTCAGGTGGTGTGGTGAATTTAAAAATGAAAGGGTTGAAAAGTGTACCAAATTTCATTAAGATGTGTTGAACCATTGCAGAGTTTTTTTATATATCCCAAGGGAAATGTACACATTTTAGGGATTGTAGTGTGTATGTTCTACATCTATGACAAATTTCACCGAGATGCATGCAACAGGTATGGAGATAACTTCTAACATCCATCCAAACATTAGCATTATATTAGTAAGACGAGTTACACTTACATTGTTAAAATTTAAAAAAAAAATCTTAATATAGTCGCCACATAGAGTAAGATAGACAGATTTGTGTTCTCAATGAGGTCCGTCTTTTAGTTTCAGGCACTATTGTCAGCCGTGTGATAAATTCTTCAAAACAAGTTGTAGTTATAACAAACATATACGTATTTCATCAAGACATATAGATCCACAATTATTACGGTGAGTTACATTTTAAATTAACTGTACCCCATAACTTCGTCCCGGAAATAAAAACTTAATAAGTAGTCTATGTGTTCTTCCAGACTATGTTCTATATGTATGACTAATTTCATCAAGATCTGTACAGCTGTTCCGGAGATATCTTCTAACAACTTCTAACATACATCTAAACATTTGCATTTATAATATTAGTAAGATTAATATCCAGCCTATGCTGGTCCCTATTTCAATGGTTTAACAAACCAATCAGAGTTCAACTTAAATAAGAGATTAAAATGTAGAAATTTGTTTTATTGTTTATTTTTTAAAGAACCGTTGGTTTCTGAAATCAATAGCGTATAAAACATATCACTATTATCATTGACAAATCAGAGATAAAAATATGTTTTAAACGGAGTATTAAGTCTCAGTAACCTACAGTAAGTATATGAAATGATGCTAATCATATAAAAACAAACTATTTGTTGAATTTTATCACAATATAGTATTTTATTATATTAAAAATTTCAAGTTCCGTTCAGCCATTCCGGAGATATTCTGACAAACATCTAAACATTCGCATTAGTAAGATGTTAACAAAACGAATTGTCTTTTTAGTTATTGCTGTCCCACTTGCGGCAAAGGATTTTTAACATGTGAAGAAAGAGATAGACATAATGAGATGATACATCTTCAAAAGAACAGACTACAATGTACAAGATGTCCGAGAAAGGTCTGAAAGTTTTTAACACAGAGTTGAAACTTATTACAGTTTTTTTGAGAAATAGTTTTTTTACAGTATTGCAGTGTTCGTGCATTGCGGTGTCATATGAGACGCCATATTAGTGGTATCACAAAACGTGACTATATGTGTGAAATATGTGGCATTGGTTTCAAAGTAAGTTTATGAGTGCGACTCATAATTGTTAATTGAAACTCAAAAACTACTATAATCGTTGGGTAGTTTTTGAGTTTTTTTTAAAGGAAACTGTTTTTTTTTCATAAATACATTTAATTTCAGACTAGTCAAGTGTTAAAGGGACATCAAAAAGTACACGAAAAAGTGAAATCTCAAGAAAAATAGTTTTAATATAAGTTGAAAATAAATAAAATTTACTAAAAAAAAAACAAAAACACAGCATTTCTAAATAATTTCACAATAAAATTATTTAAAACCAAACATAATTAAACAAAAAAGGCCACCATGATGAATGGGTAAGAGATTGATCGAGCTGCAAAGTCTTATGAAGTTAGTAGTAGAAGTTCCTAGTAGATAAATTTAGATCGTCGGTGGCTCAGTGGTCAAGCACTTGACTTGCAATCTGCAGGTCCTGGGTTCGAATCCCGTCATGTACCAGTGTGTTTTTGGATTTCCGATTTACACATGTACATTTATCCGACGTTCTTACGGTGAAGGTAAACATCGTGATGCTGCACATATCTGAGAAGTAATTCAAAGATATGTGTGAAGTCAACCCGCACTTGACCAGCGTGGTTGACTATGGCCTAGTCACCCTTAACTTAGGGTAGCCTCCGAGCCCCTCGGTGGGGACGTATAGTGAGCTGATGATGATGAGATAAATTTAAATATAATTCAAGGCAAAAGATTCTTGATAGTAAAAGTTAAAGTTACGTTTTTTTCCTTTCGAGTTAAATCTCTAAAAATAAAAAGCCATAATTTTTAAATATATTTATTTACTTAATTACATATTATTTATACATTTTTAAATAGAACAAGATATATTTTATAAGTTAATAATTAATTTGCTCCATAGATGGCGCTAAACTTGAACAAACTAAATATTAAAAAAAAAACATTTGTCTTGTGTTTATCTACAAAACTTAACCAAGAATTTTTTTTTGCCCTACTGATATGAGGGCAAAGTATATACGTTCAGTTATGCTATACAGGGTGTCCTAAAAGGTAATGTACATAGGAAGGGGGATGATAGGGGTGGTCACAAGGGTCACCAGAAAAAATAAAATAAAAATTCCCCTCTGGGTATTAAAAAAATAAATGGCATTTTTTAAAAACTTAAAATTTTTACTCCTTCTGGGGCAATTTTAATTTTCTTTAAAATCTTTGTTAGTTGTATTGTTTTCTTTATTTCATATTGATAAAGGGTTATTGACGATAACATAATAGCTTTTTTTTAAATGTAGCAATATTTGTAGGTCATCGGTTACAAAATTGTCCCAGAAGGTGTAAAATTTTTAAGTTTGTAAAAAATACCATTTACTTTTTTTAATACCCAGAGGGGAATTTTTATTTTATTTTCCTGGTGACGCTTGTGACCACCCCTATCATCCCCCTTCCTATGTACGTAACCTTTTGGGACATCCTGTATATGCGAAAAATTTAACCCTCCTATAAGTAGAGCAAAAAAAATTAAGGTCTTTTTATCAATATTATATCTTAGATTTATGGTTTTATTAAAAAAAAAGTAATCTTGATCTCTTAGTAGCTGTAGTCCGCGACTCCGTCTGCTTGGAGTAAAGAATCTTAATAAGTAGTCTATGTGTTCTTCCAGATTACGTTCTACATCAGACACTTCAAGATCCATGCAGCTGTTCTAGAGATATCTTCTAACATCCATACATTCGCATTTATAATAGTAAGATGGATTTCCTTGTAACCTTCAAATCTTTCTTGTACTACCCTCAATTAGTTTTTACATCTACCTTCGTTTTATCATTGTCAATGAATTCGACGACTCGTTTTGCAGGCGTTATATTATGAACTCGCTTCCTGTGAGTATAAAGTGATGCTTTTTGTTTGAAAGTTTGATAGCAAATGTTACAAGACAACGGTCTGTCTCCGGAATGGATAACTTCGTGTTGATTTAGTGATTTCTTGTCCTGGAAAAATAAAGATATTTATTATTATTATCTTTACCTCTAAGTCCCCACTTAGGGTAGAGTCTACCCTAAGTGAGAGTATGTGATGACTATGTGAGACCAGTGCAAGACTTCACACATTTGACTTTCTCAGATTTGTGCAGCATCACGATGTTTTCCTTCAACGTAACAACATACGATAAATGTACATATGTAACATTGCTGAGCCACTAACGCTCTGTAAAGTATTATACTCACAGTAAATGCTTTCCCGCATTGTTGACAGACGTGGTTCTTTGGTTTCTCCTTCTTTTCTCCGTGTACCCTCATTAGATGACGCTCTACGTTAGCTCGAGACGCTATAGGCTGAAAAGTAAATCATTATTATATTAATTCGTTTAGAAACTTAACTTTAATAGTATGTCCACAATTAGGCATTTGAACCAATGCGCCTATCATTTTTAAATAGCAATTTATCAACAAAAAGAATTTACGCGCCAATGCGCCTGCCATATAATAATAGCAATTCATCAACAAAAGGAATTTGCGCACAAAGCGCCTGCCATTTTATAATAGCAATTCCTCAACTAAGCAAGTTTTCAAATAAATAGCCAGTGTGTATAAGTAACGCAAATATATCATTAATATTAAAGTTTCAGTTTGATTACATACAGACAATATAATTTTATATCCAAAACCTTAAGATTTATAAGACCAATACCGATTCCTTAGAGTGGAAGGAATAAGAAGAGATATATAGGAGCAGTAATCATCTTACCTTATCACATAGTGGACATTTATGCGATGTTTTGCCGAGATGTTGATAGTTGAAATGATCCTGCATCGCCTCTTTAGTCGGATAACCTTTGTTACACATCGGACAAGGAAACCTGAAGGGGAAAAAATACTAATATTATAAATACGAATGTTTAGATGTTTGTTAGAATGTATCTCCAGAACAATTTCATGAATTTTATTGAATTTTGTCATAGATGTAGAACATAGTCTAGAAGAACACATAGACTACTAGTTAAGTTTTTTTTTCTTTTTGTAGCATTATATTAAAATTAGCTGTCGCCCGCGACTAACTTTAGCACGAATTCTCAAGAATACGCCCTAACCACCCTGTATACTTGAGCACTTAATCTGAAGAATACGCCATGGGCTCAACACGCCCTAACCAACTTGTATACTTGAGCATATATTTTGAAATACACGCCTTAATCACCCTGTATGCTTAACGCCCTGGGCCTAACCACGCCCTGAGCACCCTGTGTACTTGAGCACTTATTCTGAAGCATACTCCCTGGGCCTAACTGCTTCCTAATCACCCTGTATACTTGAACACTTATTCTGAAGCATCCGCCATGGATCCCTCGCTCTAACCAACCTGTATACGTTATTATACATATATTTTGGAACACCCTGGACTTAACTACGTCCTAATCGTCCCGTATACTTAACGCCCTGGGCCTAACCACGCATTTAACATCCTGTATACTTACTTAAGTACTTGTTCTGAAGCATGCGCTCTGGAATACTTGAGATGTCCCTGGTACGTTGTGAGATAGGAGAATACTTTGTTACAATCGGTACATTCGTACCGGCCTTTATTCTGATGTCTTTGTATATGATATTTCAATTGCACAGTTCGTACCAGTTTCGAGCATATCGGACATTGCTCTCTCGGCGGTGGACCTTCGTGTAATCTGTTGATTTATTTTTAATAAAAAAAAAAAACATGTCAAATTTTACATTTAAACGATAAAAAAAATTAGGAAATTAATTTTAGCTTTACGTATTAAAAATGTTTCCCGTTGGACCGATTCAATGGGAATTATATTGACCATTGGACCAAATACGTACATAGAAAAAAAGTAATAAAGCAATTAAAAAAATATGACCATATAGGCACTCACTACTATAATTAAGCACAAAAAATATGTAAGAAAATATACTAAAAAATATTCTATAAAAATAATAATAAAGGAACATGAAACACCCTGTATACAACTTACTTGAGATGTGTAACTAAAGTAGTTCTGTTGACGAATCTCTTCTTACAATGATCACATTGCAAGCCCTCCCTGTGATATCTGGCGACGTGAGCCTTACGTGCACGAGAATTCCTGAATATATTATACATATAGTAAATACATAAAAAAAAATTACTAATCTATATATATAAAAGAAAGTGGTGTTAGTTACACTATTTATAACTCAAGAACGGCTTTACTGATATGACTGAAAATTGTTGAGGAGGTAGCTTAGAGCCAGGAGACGGACATAGGATACTATTTATTCATTTTTTTTCGAATTTACACCTTGAAGAGCTGCATTTTAATTAACTTACTAATATTATAAATGCGAATGTTTAGATGGATGTGATGTGGATGGATGGTTGGATGTTTGAAGATATCTCTAGAACGGCTGAACGGATCTCGATTAAATTTAGCATAAGTATAGAATATAGTCTGAAAGAACACATAGGCTACACTAATTAAGGTTTTTTATATATCCACGCGAACGGAGTCGCGGGCGACAGCCAGTTAATCAATACACCATGAAAAATCAAGCTCACAAAATGGGGGATCATATTTTTGTACAACCACTTCAACATAAACGTAGAATAAACTACGTTAAATCCAAGACCCACCAATAGAACCTGGAGGATAAAATGTTAACATTTTTGCCCACTCCAAAATGGGCGTCAAATGAAAGATCTTGTCTAGTAGAGTTACAGAGGATTATGAAAAATCCAAAATGGTCGTCACAAAATGGCGGACATAACAGTTTTGTAATTTGAAAATCGGATGACACTTTACTCGTCAAAACAGCTTAAGCTACACTTCTGAATAAAAACATTGTCAGAACATTCATCTGTATGTTTGTGCGAGCTAATCACAAAAACGGCTTAAACGATTTAAATGCAGTTTTCACTAATGTATTGTGCTTAGTTTCACTTAAAATTTAGTAATAAGGCAAATGTTAATCTTATATATTTACAATTAAAAATCATATAATATTAAAAATACTCACTTAAAGAACATATCACATTCAAGACATTGATAACCAACAATTGTTGTTTTAGAGAGCAATTTCCTTAAACCTTTCGGATCTGATGTTGTCGTTGACGTATCTTTTTTTTTCTTTTTCTGACGCTAAAATAAAACACTGTATCAAAAACTTATTTTTCTTAATAAAACAGATAGCTGCTTAAAAAAATTAACTTACCAATTTTTCAACTTGCTTTATATCGCCAATCTTGATGAGTGAGCTCGGCAACTTCTTCTCATGGTGTGTCTGGACGTGCAGCTGTGCGCAGCGCACAGTCGCCTCAGCGTGCCCGCAGAGCCGGCACACGTGCCGCACGTAGTGGCCCTGCATGTGCTGCGACACGCGCCCCTCCTCCACGTACGAGTAGCACACCTTGCACGGCGCGGTGCCCTCCCTCTGCGCGACGCGACGGGGAACTATCTCAGCTGTGCTAAGTCACGCAACTACTGTCACGTCACAGGCACATGTGCCACATCTAGTGGCCCTACATGTACCATAAATAGTGGCCCTACATGTAAAGCAAGTAGTGGCCCTGCATGTAGCGCAAGTAGTGGCCCTACATGTAAAGCAAGTAGTGGCCCTGCATGTGCCGCAAGTAGTGGCCCTACGTGTACAACAAGTAGTGGCCCTACGTGTACAACAAGTAGT